GAGGTTCCTCTTAGAACAACTGGACATTTTCAAGTCCATTGGCCAAAATGACCTACATCCAAGAGTCCTAAAAGATCTGGCTAAACTCACAGCAGGGCTTTTGGTAAAGCTATTCAAAAAGTTGTGGAATTTGGGAGTGATCCCAGATGACTGGAAGAGGGCCAACATAGTACTCATCTTTAAGAAAGGGAGGGGGGATGACCCTGAAACCTATAGACTGGTTAGTGTGACTTCAGTCCTAGGAAAAACTTTTGAAAAAATTAAGAAGGCCATCAATCACAAGCTTGTAGCTGACAGGGTATTAAGAAACAACTAGCATGGCTTTGTGGAGGAACCTTTGTGCCTAAGGAAACTGGCGTCCTTCTACAACCAGGTAACTAACCAGCTGGACAAGGGATATGAGGTAGACATCATTTACCTAGACTTCAGTAAGGCCTTTTATTCTGTCTATCCATGAAATTCTCTCAGTTAAACTGGAGGGTACTGGCCTGGACCAGCCTGCAATGAGGTGGGTGAATAACTGGCTTAGAGGCTGATCCCAGCGAGCTGTAATCGATGGGGCGGCTTCAGCCTGGAGGGCTGTCTCCAGTGGTGTCCCACAGGGATCGGTGCTTGGATCCATACTTTTCAACATATTTATTAATGACTTGAAGAGGTGGAATGCTCTATGATTAAGTTTGCCAATGATACCAAGCTGTGGGGAAATGCAAGCACACCAGAGGATAGGGTAAGGATCCAGCATGACATAGACAGACTGGTTCTATGGGCTGATCAGAATCAGATGAGGTTCAAAAGGGAAAAGTGTCAGGTCCTTCATCTGTGTAGGAAGAACCTTCACCATAACTATAGGATAGGTTGTAGCCCACTGGCTGACACAGCATCTGAATGGGACCTGGGGGTCACAATCAACCAGAAGATGAATATGAGCCAACAGTGTGATGAAGTTGCCATCAGGGCAAATAGAACTCTGGTGTGCATCAGCCGGTGTGTTGCCAGCAGACCCAGAGAGGTGCTTCTCCCTCTCTACTCAGCACTGGTGAGGCCGCAGCTGGCGTACTGTGCCCAGGTTTGGGAACTGCACTTCAAGAAGGATGAGGATAAGCTTGAGCGGGTGCAGAGAAGGGCCACCCATATGATCAGGGGCCTGGAGGATAGGTCATATGAGGACAGACTACAGGAACTAGCCTTGTTCCTCCTGACTAAGAGAAGGCTGAGAGGTGACCTGATAGCCACCTACAAGTATATCAGAGGGCAGCAACTCTTCAGTAAGGCACCCATGGGAAGGATGAGGACCAATGGTTACAAACTGTTAGAGGGAAGATTTAGACTTGATATAAGAAAGAACTTTTTCTCCATAAGGGTAACTAGAACCTAGAACACACTCCCAGCAGAGGTGGTGCAGTCACCATCCTTGGAGGTATTCAAGAGTTTGGACAAGCACCTCTTTGAGCTAGTTGGAGCCCATTAAGCTCCTCCTTCTGGCAGGGGACTGGACTTGATGATCTTACAGGTCCCTTCCAGTCCATTGATTCTATGAAACATCTACATCTTTGTGTGAAAGTATTTCTTATAAATAATTATTAACTGTTCCTAACTCTTGTTTGAATAATTCATGATTACACTATGTTATACTATTCAACACTTACCAGGAGGGGAAAAATGTTATCTTCTACACTTTAAGAATGTGTTTCAAACAGTAGTTTAATTTTAAAAATAGACATCACTGTAAAATAAAGAACTTGGCTCAACCCTTTTTACCAAAATAATAATAAAAAACAATTAAAAATAAGTTGCAAGTGGAATGAAAGTAAATGAAGCTGGGTACAGACTTGTACACAAGCTTTTGTGCCCTGTGACCATAAAATAGGAGTTCCCAAAAAGAGTTTTATGAACCACCTGTGGTCCACAGAGCACTTGCAGCTGATTCTTGGAGGGCTGGCTGGTCACATAGTGCTGGCTTTTCTCCTTGTTTCCAGCTGTTATATCACATTAAAGACAACTAAAAATACATTAACTACTTCTCCATGCAAGTAATTTCTATAGTTGTTGCAAAGAGGTTATATGGCTGCAAGTAGGAAGAGAGAGGAGTTTACAGTTATTAACAGAAAAGGAGGGGGTTCAAAAGACAATTGCTTTATTACAGTGAAGTCCATAATATGGTAAAATTTGGAACTTTCTGCCACAGAATGGTTCTCAAGGGTCACTTTCAGCATTTCCCTTTTATTCTGAATTCCAGTAATTTATATCTAACAGTTAAGGTACTAATCAGACATTTAACTTTAAGCACATGTCTGCTCTGAAATGTCTGGTTACAGTTAGCCACGTGCCTAAGTACCTTGCTGAATCACGGCTCATCTGCTAAATAAATTACTACAGATGGTATTGGGTTTTTAGTAAAAACACATTAAGTGACATTAAATGGATTGCATGGAGCTGTTTCAATATCAAGTCACTTGGTAGAAGAATATTCAATATCTTCCATGTTGCTAGATTTTTGGTTATAGCTGTGTTGCTCTAAGGACATAGGCAGGCAAGGTTCTTTGAGTAGATGTGATATCTTTTATTAGACCAACTGAGTAGTAGGAAAAAAAGTCCTTTGCAAGCTTTCAGTCCCAATCACCCTTCTTCAGGCACAGGGAGTCTCTGCTGTTCTGAGATCTCCAAGGAATGAAAGAAGCTAAAAGTGTGACAGGATGTCAGTGTGGATATAAACAGGTGTAAATTAGGAAAATAAAAAGACAGAGAAAGGGAGAGGGAAAGGAACAAGGGAGAAAAATACCAAAGGTAAGTAAAGGAGACTACTGTACTTGCTTTCTCCAAGGTGAAAAGGAGGCTGTCTGTGTTCTTATGCACCCAAATGAGAATTTTCTAGATGCATAAGTGACATTTGGGACATTTATAGTAGGGCTGTGTGAAGCTTCGGTTGCTGATTCAATTCAAATCTGAATCGAATCAGGAGACCCTTTAACGTCTCCAAATTGAATCGGAACCCTTTGAAACATTTCAGAAAGATTTGACGATTCAGACAGACACAACTTTAAATGTTTTTTCTACATACTTCCAGGTACCAGGCGGCTCACGAATGCTGAAATGATGGGGTGAACGGAGTATCCCACAGAAGCATGGAGGGGTCCCCAGTGTGCTTGGCAGCAGACCTGGAAGTGGACCAGAAGCACTTCTGATCCACTTCCACCCCCTTGGCTCAGTGACTGGTGCCTCCTGGGTCTGGGGGGCACCCCGTTGCCAACTGCTGAGCTGGGAGGGCATGGGGAGCCCCTGGCATACTCAGCAGCAGACACAAAAGTGGACCAGAAGTACTTCCGGTCCACTGCCAAGGATGTGGGATGCTCCTGTGGGATGCTCCATCTGCCCCACCATTTCAATGTTCATGAGCCATGCCCGATAACTTGAGGTATATAGAAAAAACATTTAAAGCTGTGTCTAAGGCCATATCTCTGATTCTCTGAATCAGCATCAAATCTTAAGATTCAGATCTGGCTGAATCCAATCGGGGACAGTGATCTGAATCAATGAATCAAATCACTGTCCCCGATTTAGTCCGAATCCAAATTGAATATGCCCTGTTTAGCACATCCCTAATTTATGCACAGCTAGCGAGTGCTTACACACCCATGGACCATGGATGAGTAAGCAGCCCTCCGGCTACTGAGTATATGCAGTAGGCTATGCACTGACTAGGCAACTGTGTGGCTATGTATGTATGTACACTGGATATGAAGAAGTTATAACATTCTACCTGGCAAAAATCCAGGACTAGTGGGTGTTAGATGCTGGAGGAGAACGATACCTAATGTTTATCCCCAGTAGCTTAGGGGTTAGGGCACTTGCCCAGGAAGTGGGAGATCTGTTTCTGGGCCCCAACCTCCCCACTCAGACGAGGTTGTAACATGTAACTTTTGACTTACAACCAAACCACAGATCAGGCATTATCCAGTCCCTTGTCCAGCCCGCCTTTGGGATCTGGTCCCATGGGCAACAGAGAGAGGGAGATATTTGGGTCTAGGAGGAAGAGAACAAACTAGGGGGGATGAGCTCAGTGATACGGATGCTGCACTAGGGAGGAGCAGGCCCTTTCGCTCTGAGACAGAGCCCTTCCCTAGTACTCTCTATCCACTTTATCCACTGACTATTAAATGCAAGGGGCATTGGCTCAGCTTCAAAAGCAGGGCTGAAGAGGGGACTGGATAATATCTAACCCAGGATACTGCCTGGTTAAAGCTTATCTGCCCACACTATAAAGGTAACAGAATTGTAAACTGTGTGTAAAATGCTATGTACATGTTTTGAAAACAATCATTTGGATGAGTAAAGGGTCACAGAATTTGGCCCAGAGAGCACAAATGAGAGGTAATTACTTGCCCAATAGTATGCCACCATTATAGACAAGGCAGGCCAGAAGACTACAGAAATTTCTACACTTTTTTTTTTGATAGATGCTTTGCAAGAGCTTTTCAGCTTTTCTTGATTTTGCAGACCTTGTTGTATTTATCATTTTCTTGAAAAGAGCCTGCCTCTGCTCTCCACCTTGCTAGTTAGCCATATCTAGCTACAAGTCGTATCTAGTTACTTGAACCACAGGTATATATAGGACAATTACACTTATATTTAGTTGACATGGTCCCAACTACCAATTTGTAATTTGTACCTGAACTTACAACACATCTACACATTAAAAGGCCTGTGTTTCATGTGTCCACTTCCTGTTTAAGGCCTGTTTTCTTCTCACAGGTTGACTACTGCCCACCACATTCAGTTTACTATTCAGTTTACTCTCAGCTGCAGGAGATGCAGCACCCCCAAGGTCCTAGCACCTGCCTTTATCTATAATATGACTATATAGGCCTATATTTATTTGCACCTACATTGTTCAGTCATTTGGGTCACTGATGTATCCTTGATAAAACCAGTACTTGTTCCAAGAAACCCTGTTTGCAAAATGTCTACTTTATGTTGCAGCAGTAGTGCCAAGGATATCTCACCTTAGACCAGTCTCCCATTCTCCAAACGTAACATTTAGAATAGTCCTCACAATCTTCTGCTTCTTTAGGTCTTGTGGACAAAACACACTTTTTGCGGGGATTGGTACACCTCACCGTTCGATGTCGCACTCCTTTGCCACATTTTACAGAGCACTGCAGGAAACAGAAATATGTGATTTACAACTGTGCAACATCCATAAATGACTGGGTATTCAATCTAGAGGCTTTAGGCAGCCTCCAATATGATTCTGATAAAAGACTGGGCAATATTCACTCTAGTAAAAAATTACTTTAAATCAGGAGTTGGAAACTTACAGTTTGCAGGCTGTATCTGGCCTTTGAAGACACTAGATCCAGCCCATGGCAGCTTAGGAAACTGGCTGCACACTCCAGCTAAGGCAACAGAGGAGGCACCCCCAGGGTCCTAGTGCCCAACTTTTTGTCTCTATTCCCTTCCCAGCATCTGCTGATCATCGAGGAGCTGTGGGGAATGCAGCCTGCAGTGGGAGCTGGGTCATAAGCAGCAGCCCATGGTTGCAAAAGCTTTAAATAAAATATAAACCTTCCTTTTAAACTAATATAACTGGTAGTAATAGTAGGCCACAGAAGACATAAATTGCCTTTGGCTTTGAAATATAAATGTTTTTCCTTCTTACTCTACCAAAGAAGTACCCAAAGAAAATACTGGAATATTAAGGTGTGCTTATATCTAGCATAGGTATTTATTTGTGTCTGGGGAACATTAGTCACAAAAGTTCCACAGGAGTGAAGGACAAAGGAGTGAATACACTGAGTTAACCATGAATCCTCCTGGGCCTCCTGTTGGATTAAAATTAAATTAAATTAAAAAACTGAAAACTTCAGTGGTTTTGTGATTGTTCCATTCTCATTGGTTCTGATGCTGAACCAGTTAAGATAAGGATTAAAACAAAAGTACACAACCCCCCTTATAACAGTGTATGACAACCAAATATATAATGGATGTGTGCATACCCACAAAATAAAAGGAAATAGAGGAAAATTAAATGAGAAATAATATAAGAAATTCTAACTACTGTTTTCAAGAAAAAGGTGGAATAAAACTTCAAACAATCCCTAAATGCAAATAGTAGACCTTCTTCGGAATTCATTTCAAAATTATATATCAGAAGTCTATATGCAGCTACCGTTAAAAAAAGAAATCTATTGAAGCAATAACATGTGAAAACTGCCTTAAACTAGGATGGTTGTGTACCGTTGGAAGAGATGGGAGACACGTTTTGGGTTTTAAGAGCCCTTCATCAGAACTAGGAAAGGAAGGTCCTGCTTTGAGCAGCGGGTTGGACTAGATGATCTCCTGAGGTCCCTTTCAACCCTAATTTTCTATGATTCTATGAAGCAGTTACAGTCCAAGCTAGGTGCAATTCAGAACAACTAATTTAGTTTAACCTCATTATGCCAATGAATTTGACCACTTGAAAGGGAGGTGGGAAGTGATCTGTCAAGCAAATAAAGAGCAGAGAGAACAAGTAAGAGCTAAGCTATATAATGATGCATCAAAGCAAGGTCTTGGTCCATGGTTTTTGATATGCAGTCGAGTGATGAATTTCTGTTCACAGGCCCATTTTCTGAAAGAATTGTTTTAGATTCCCTTTGAGGACAAGAACTGTGAGGTCCTGAAAATGAGCAACCAGTTTGCATTGTGCTTTTCTCCTTACCTCCACACTGCATACTCAACAGATCACCAGCTTTCCTTGTTCTCCCTTTCAACTGTCCACTCACCCCATGTTGCAGGTCTTCACACTTCCCTTACTTGTCCACTCTCCCCTAGGAAGGTCACAGAACTTAGCTCATCAGGCTGCTAACAGTGACTACTTCCCTCTTTTACTGTGCTCCTTACCTAGTCACATGCCTCTTCACACCCTCTTTCATCCTTTGGTCCAGCATCCCTGGTAGTGGGCGTGGGGCAGACAGAACAGATCGGGGGGATGGGTGGGGTCTCCATGGAAACTGGCCTGGGACCCCTGCAGGCAGACTATGCGCCACCAGGTGGATGGGTTGGGGCTGGCCACAAGTGGGCAGGGAGTGGTATCTGGGAGTGGGACAGGCAGGTGGGGCTGGTGCCACGGCCAGAATCGTGGGGCAGAGCCAGTACAGGGCCAGGGCCTACAACAGGTGCCAGTTCTGCGGGCAGGGACGTGAAGGGAGCAGATTGTGGCTCTGCCCCAGGCCCCAGCCCCACACTGTCACCATTTCACGATCCTGGCCCCAGCCCACCTGTCCTGCTCCTGGATGCTACCCCTTGCATGCCCACGACCCCAATGCCATCTGCCCAGCCAAGTGTGACCTGCCTGTTGGGGTCCCAGGCTGGTCTCCATGGAGACCTGGTCTGCCCACTCTCTTCCTCCAGTGCCCCTAGCAGTGGGTGTGGGACAGACTGGGAATGATAGTTCTGCTGCCATGCTGCCCCCACCCTACTCCATGCCCAGGGGGTGGTGGGACCAGCTGTACATGTCATGGCCTGGATTGTCCCCCACACCTGGGCCAGGTGTGGCCAAGGGGCCCACCGTTGGCCAGATAAAATCCCTTGGCAAGCCAGATTTTTCCCACCTGGACTAGAACCTGCCAATTGCTGCTACCCTTTGTCTGTCTCCACATACTTTTTTTTCCCCCCCACAGACATTAGAGCTGGAAGGGACCTCAGAAGATCATCGAGTCCAGCCCCCTGCCCAAGGGGCAGGAAGTCAGCTGGGGTCATAGGATCCCAGCGAGACAAGCATCCAAATTTCTCTTGAAGGTGTTCAATGCAGGTGCTTGAGCCACCTCTGATGGCAGGCTGTTCCAGACCTTGGGGGCTCGGACAGTAAAGAAATTCTTTCTTAGGTCCAGCCTGAAATGGTCTTGCAGTAGTTTATGATCATTCGACCTCGTCATCCCTTGGGGCGCTCTGGTGAACAAACGTTCCCCCAGATCCTGGTGGTCACCCCTGATAAACTTATAGGTGGCCATCAGATCACCCCTGAGCCTGCACTTTTTTTCATGTGCTGCTAGGACAAATGGAAGAAATATGTAATAAAGAACCTATCTAAAGACAAAGTAAAATAAATGCACTTAATTCTACTGGCTCCTAATTACCAGCTGACATTCCCAGGCAGTAATACTTGCACGTGCAACACATCAGTGTCCCTGAGGTGGCTGTGATGCCCCCTGGTGGCTCTGTGACTGTGCCCCGCTCCACCCCTAGGATGCCTTCCTGTCTCATTGCCATGCTTTGATGGTTTATTATTATATTATTATTTATTATTATTACAGGGAGGCTGCCCATAGGCCTTTGCTAGGCTTCAGGCCCACTGGTTCCAGACCCCTAGCTGGGCCTCTATAGTCATCTATGCCCAGCAGGGCACCCAAAGCCTTAAGGGCTGATTGTGTGACTCCATATCATCCCCTTTACCATGCTCCATCCCTCACAGGTGTTATCAGTATGTCATTCCCTCTGTTGGGCTGTCAGTCTCCTTGGCCTCTGCCCCTTTAATCTCACTAGACCTTCTAGCCTAGGCCTACTGAAATTGGACCTGGCTTTGAGGCACCAGCTTCCTTTGTCCCTTCCAGTCACTGGGTCCCTGGCCCCTGTCTGCCATGCCCCTGGCCCCTCTCTGGCTGCATCCTCTCTGGTGCTGCTCTGGGCTCAATAAGACAGTCTAGTGCCCCCTGCCTTCTTATCTCCCCTTCCAGCATCATCCCAAACCACTGGTAGAAACAACATAACATAAGCCCATGGGCTATAACATTAACAACAAAGTAGCAGCCCTCTGCCCCTTTAAGGAGGAAAGCCTTTTTCCCCTTGTGCCACTGTACCTCCCAGCATAGGCTCCTTGTGAGCTCCCTGAGCCTCAGAGTTCCTACAGGCAGCCAACGGTCAGCTCAGCATCTCTGGGTGGCTCCCCTGGGTACTAGCTCCTTCTCCTGTGGCAGCCAGGGAAGGCCCCCCCCCCCCCCCCACCCCCGGC